GGAGGGTCATGCTAGCACTAGCAAGGAACAACCCACCAAAGGTAATCCAATTCATGAGGTTGAATTTAATTCCGGTTTGGATTTAAATGCAACGGATCCTAACATTTTTATGGTGCAGGATGATGACTCATGGTGGATTGATTCGGGGGCTTCAAGGCATGTATGCAAGATGAGGCATTGGTTCAAAACCTTTCACAAGGTTGGTGATGGAGAAGATCTCTTTATGGGAAACAATTCAACCATCAAGGTCCTTGGTAGAGGACAAGTAGAACTAATGTTTAGTTCGGGGAATGCAATCATTCTTAGGGATGTGTTGTATGCTCCGGATATTAGTCGGAATCTTGTATCGGGGCCTTCCCTGAATAGTCTTGGCTATAAATTAGTGTTTGAAGCTAATAGGTGTATAATTACTAGAGGAACAAATTTCATAGGTCGTTGTTATTTATGTAATGGATTATTTAAGCTTTCTTTGAAAGACATGTATGGATTTGATGATGTTTGTATGAATGTTGATGCAAGTGATAATCATGTTGATTTAAATTTGTTTGATTTGTGGCATTCTAGATTAGGACATGTTAATTATAATAAAATGCTGTTTATGTCCAAACAAGAGTTAATTCCTTGTTGTGATATTTCTCCTAATAAGTGTTCTACTTGCATGTTGAACAAGATCACTAGAACTCCATTTAAGAGAGTTGAGAGAAGTTCTAACATTTTAGAACTAATCCATAGTGACTTGTGTGATTTTCATAGTACTCCTTCTTTGGGGAACAAAAGATACCAAGTTTGATATTTACAAAAGGGAAGTAGAATTGCAAGTAGATTCATTTATTAAGAGAATTAGAACTGATAAGGGAGGGGAATACTATGATCCAAGTTATTTCCAATCTTTAGGTATAATTCATGAGACTACAGCTGGTTATGCACCACAATCAAATGGTGTAGCTGAAAGGAAGAACAGAACCCTAGAAGAAATGGTTAATTCCATGTTGTCTTACTCAGATTTGAGTGAAGGGTTCTGGGGTGAAGCTATGTTGACAGCATGTCACATTCTTAACCGAGTTCCCACAAAGGGAAAAGAATCTACTCCTTATGAACTTTGATACAAAAGAAAGCCAAACTTGAAGTATCTCAAAGTTTGGGGTTGTAGGGCAATCGTAAGAGTGTCCGGCAACAAGAAAAGAAAGCTCGGTGAAAGGGGCTTGGATTGCATATTTATAGGGTATGCTGAGCATAGCAAAACCTATAGGTTCTATGTAATAGAACAAAATGACTATATATCTGTTCATTCAGTTATAGAGTCAAGAGATGCAATTTTTGATGAAAACCGATTTTCATCAATGAGTAGACCGAAAGATCTACAAATTAGTGCCAATGATAGGGAGATAGTAGAGTTGAATGATCAACTTGAAACTCATGAAAGTGCATTCGATAATGAGAATGTTGAAACTCCTCAATTGAGGAGAAGTACTAGAGAAAGGAAAATTAGGAATCCTCTAGATGACTTCATAATTTATTTGTTTGAAGGATCTAGGGATGTCCTTAGTTCCACTACTCCATATTGTTTCAATGTGGATAGTGACCCAAAAACTTATAGTGAAGCAATATCTTCCCAAGATAGTGCATTTTGGAAAGAGGCTATAAATGATGAGATGGATTCCATCATGGGAAATAACACTTGGGTCTTAGAGGATTTACCTTCCGGTTGCAAACCTCTTGGTTGCAAGTGGATTTTCACTAGGAAAAGGAGACCGGATGGCTCCATAGTGAAATTTAAAGCCAGATTGGTTATCCAAGGCTTTAGGCAAAAGTATGGTGTTGATTATTTTGACACCTATGCACCAGTTGCAAGAATCACCTCTATAAGGTTATTAATTGCAATGGCTTCGGTATATAATCTAGTAATCCATCAAATGGATGTCAAAACGGCATTCCTTTATGGAGATCTAGAGGAAGAAGTGTACATGAAACAACCCGAAGGGTTTGTTTTGGAAGGACAAGAAGATAAGGTGTGTAAATTGGTTAAGTCATTGTATGGACTTAAACAAGCACCAAAACAGTGGCATCGAAAATTTGATGACACAATTTTGTCTTTTGGATTCAAGGTGAATCAAGCTGATAAGTGTATACACTAGTAGAAAAACAGAAATAGGCAACCCCCCTATGGCAACGGTTCATGAAAACCGTTGCCAACTCTACCCCTTTTTTTTTTTTTAAATTGGCAACGGTTAACCGTTGCCAATTGATTAAATTATTTAAAAAAAAAAAAAAAAAAAAAAAAGGGTAGAGGTTGGCAACGATTCGTTGCCAACCTCTAAAAAAAAAAACCCGTATACATTCTATTCCCCTATTCCCCCTCCTCTCCTTCGCTCTCTTTCTCTTCTCCTTCCCCTATTCCCCCTGTTTCTCTGAATCTCCCTAACCTCTTTGAATCTCTTTCTCTTCTCCTTCCCCTTCTATTTCTCCTTCCTGTTTCTCCTTCCCCTTCTGTTTCTCCTTCCCCTTATTTCTCGTCTTTCTCGCCTTTTTGGGGTAATTCAGAACCGTATATTTTTGGGATTTTTGGGGTACGAATTGCGGAAAGGAGGAGGCGAAATACGAGGCAAGAGGTTAAGTTAAGTTATTTTTTGTCTTTAATATTTCATTCGGTTATTAGATTTTGTCAAATAATTTTACAGTTTTTTTGGTCAAAATTGGGAAAAATCGAACAAAAAAACCCTAAATTTCGAATTTGGGAGTTTTCAATTCGGTCCATTATTCTTGAAATTGTTTGTTCCATGTTGTTATGCTATGTTTAAGGAGTGTTTTGCAACAAATTTCATGAAAAATGGTTAAGTATTAAACCTTGTATGAGCATGTCTTTGTTCGAGTTCGTTCTTTGTATAAAGGTAAGAAATTTGTTGGACTTTTGGAAATATGCTTGGTGAGTTGGTGGGGAACTGGAAACTGTCAATTGAGTTGCTTATGGGACCAATTTGCTGATTGCCATAAATGGGATTGGGTCTAAATTTGATCTATACTTCGTATATAGGGTTAACACATGTAATCTAGATGGATTATCGTATTAAACAATATGCAGTTTGCTGATTACTGAAAACGGTCCTGATCCTATTTCAGTTATAAACGTGGAACTTCATGTGATTATAATTGATCATCTTGTTAAAGATTTAAGGCTTTTAATTTTTGTGCTAGATATATTTGGCAACTTTTTTTTGTTGTAATCTTCCCTTTTGTTGGTGTTCTAGGCTGTTGAGGAAGGTTGGTAATTAATAGTGAACTTCAAGAATTACCTGGTTGGTTTTATTTGTGGCCTGTTTGTTGTTAGTATGTTAGTATGATGTTACTTGGTGGCCTGATGTTACTTGTTGTTACCATTATGGTGGCCTGATGTTACCTGGTGTTGCCTAATTTGAGGTTCTGATGTGAGCTTTTATTGGTATGATGTTGAGTGTATTTGCCTAATACCATCTGAGTCCCCTATTAGGTCCTTTGCTAGATGCACTGAGTCCCGACACATATAATGCATCACTGTGTGTAAGTTCCAAGTGATGAAGGGACTCAACTGATTGCTTATTGTAAAGTGAGGAAGCTCTAGCGACTTCAACTTGAAGTTTCTGTTGAGGAACCCACTTTCAAGATTGCTTTGAGTGAAAATACCCTATTTGATGGACTAGGTTCAAAAGATTTCTCTGGTGTGCTGGGGGGCTACTCTGAGCCTAAGGCTTGTGTGGCTGTGTTGCTGCCCAGGAAACTCTAAATTCTATAGCTTGCTGAGCTTGTTGGTCTTGCTGTTTGCTATTTGTTTGCTGGTTTTGCTCTGCTCTGTAACTGTTGCTGCTGTTTGGGGTTAGCTGGGTGGATCCTGTTTGTGTGCTGCTGTGAGCCCCTGCTGCTGTGCTGTGCTCTATAGTAGTCTGTTGAGCTGTTTTGCTTTGTTTGAACTCTTTTGCTGTTCTGAGCTGCTGTGTTGCTAGCTGGGTTCTGTTCTCTGTCTTTGCTGCTGTCTGTGTGCTGCTGAGCTGGGCTTTGTTTGGTGTGTGTTTGCATTGGTGAAGTCAGGTCCTGGTTCGAATGAGGGGAAAATTGACCCTCCTCCGGTGACGATTTCTGAACCCTTATCTTTATTGATTATTTTTTGGTTGCATTGAGAAGGAGGTTTGTATGTACTTGATTGGTTGCCAGTAACATTAGTTGCTGGCCAGGGGGTGTGTGAATTTTGTTGTTGGTATTTGATTTGCTAGACTAATTTGTTGTGCTTGATTTGGTTGCCAATAACATGCTTTGTGACTCCCTGTTGGGGTTATGGTGGTTGATTTTGCAATATAGTGAGTCCCTTTGTCGTGGTCTGATTTTGCAATATAGAGTCCCTAAGATCTCAATTATTTAATTTGAGAGATCATTCTTGTTACTAAATCTAAATGATGAAGGGACTCAGCTGATTTTGAAATGGCCTGTTTGATTTGCTCCAATTATAACATTGTTGAGGTAACAAACAGGATTTCATTTCTTGTGATCAAATTACAATCTCTCTGATGGATTTAAGATGTCACCCATGATTGGATTTAAGGACAGAGAGTTCATCATCTGAGGGGCTGAGGGAGGGCATAGAGGTGGTGTGTAATGGACTGACCCTTTCTTTTTTGTGTGTGTGGGAATTTCATTTTCCTTGGAGTACATTTATAGTTTTATACTAGTACATTCATATCAAGGGAAGACTTTCAATTGTATGCTTTTATATTCTGAATTTCTGAGTGGAATTTGAAACTAAGTATTTCATATAATCTTATGGCACATTGAAAACTGATTCTTAAAAGTGTTTAAATATACACTTTGCTGGAAAACCAGAGCTGAATGTTTAATTCGTCACTGATATCTGACCAATAATAAATTAGTGATTTGTGGAAGACTTATACCTAGAGTCTAGTCTTTTATATTGTTTCCTCTTTCATCTGCTGTGATTGGTTTTGGTGCTGCTGCCCTACTTTCTGTCTGGTACGCAGAGGATTTGTTTGAGCTCTGGCTTTCCGGTTTGCTGCTGTCACTGCTGCTGCTGTTACTGCTATCCCTGCTGCTGCTGTCCCTGCTTGTTGTCGCTGCTTTTCTTTGCCTGTTGATGTTGTCTGCCTGCTGCTGCTGCTGCTGCTGATTCTGGAGGTTTCTTTTCTGCTGCTGTTATTCTTTCTTTTTTTTTTCTGGTTTGTTGCTGTTTGTAATCTCCAAGTTTGGAGGGGTTTGTATTTTTTTCACGTAGCGTATTTATTTGTGTATGAGGACACGGTGCGACTGTACTTTATGAGGGCTTGCCCTTTTTTCTTTTAGTAATGATATCCCTTTCTTACCTACCAAAAAAAAAAAAATGATTACCTCCTAAAATGTTGCCTTTGAGATTATTAGCCTTTTGCTTACTTACCAAAATAAAAAAAAAATACAGGTCAATGGCAACGGTTAACCGTTGCCAATTATTTAAAAAAAAAAAAAAAAGGTCAATGGCAACGGTTAACCGTTGCCAATTATTTAAAAAAAAAAAAAAAAAAAAAAAAAAAAAAAAAAAAAGGTCAATGGCAACGGTTAACCGTTGCCAATTGCTTGAGTTGGCAACGGTTTTGAACCGTTGCCAATTATTTTGGGATTTAGCAACCCTCAAATACGCAACGGTTCAAAACCGTTGCCTTTGGGGGGGTTTGAACCGTTGCCAATTTGCCCTTTTCGTGTAGTGATATATAGCAAATTTGATGACAAAGGTCATGGTGTCATCATTTGTCTATATGTTGATGATATGCTTATCTTTGGTACAAGTCTACAACAAGTAGAATTGACCAAGGAATTCTTATCCTCATCTTTTCAGATGAAGGATTTGGGGGAGGCGGATGTCATTTTAGGCATCAAGATAATTCGGGACAATGGAAGACTTATTCTAAGTCAATCTCACTATGTTGAGAAAATGATCAAACGGTTCAATATGTTTGATAAGTGTCCCGTGAACACCCCCATGGAACCAAATGTCAAATTGGTTAAGAATTCGGGGAAAACAATTTCCCAATTGGAATATTCAAGGATAATTGGATCCTTGATGTATGCCATGACTAGTACAAGACCGGATATTGCATTGGCTGTGGGAAAACTAAGTAGATTTACTAGTAACCCGGGTGCACAGCATTGGTTGCAATAAGGATGGTCTTGAGGTACCTTAAGGGTACATTAGACTATGGTCTATCTTATAGTGGATTTCCTTCGGTTTTAGAAGGATTTTCGGATGCTAGTTGGATCACTTACAAAGAGGATGACTCTTCTGTAAGTGGTTGGGTATTTATGTTTGGAGGAGGAGCCATTTCATGGTCTTCCAAGAAACAAACTTGCATCGCTAATTCCACTATGGCAGCAGAGTTTATAGCTCTTGCATCAGCTAGTAAAGAAGCTGAGTGGTTGAGGAATCTCATGATAGAGTTGCCTTTATTGCCAAAGCCAATGCCACCGGTGGCAATCTATTGTGATTCCAATTCGGCGTTGATAAAGGCTTATAGTCAAGTGTACAATGGTAAGTCTCGGCATATTTCACTAAGGTATAGCCTAGTGAAAGAGCTTATCAATGATGGGGTCATAAGTCTTGACTATGTTCCAACAAAGATGAATTTGGCGGATTGCTTTACCAAGGCAATGCCAAGACATTCCATCATATTTGCTATGAATGGAATGGGTTTATGTCCAAAAAACACAAACTTGTGAAACCCAATCTAACGCTTGAAGAAACATCAAGTCTTAGATTCAATGTGGTTGAATCGCAATTTTGATGTTTGTTAGCAATGTTTAATGACCCATATTGCTATGGTACTTGTGATATATGAGGTAGCGTCAATTAAAAGTTCTCAAAGGTTTAGAGTTGAGAAGCTCTAAATGTGAGTGTCTTGTCACAAGGGCACAATTACGTATATGAGAACCTACCTATATAAGTTCGAAGTTTAGCCGCTTCAAGAAGTCTAAAAGGACATACAGACTTCGATGAACTTATGAAAGATACGGACACATGGCTGTTTAAAAGTGTCAAGTGATGAATGATTCGATTTATCTTATGTGTGCTTCACCTTCGAATGGTTGGATATATCCGTGTGATTCAATCCATATGGAAATCATGGGATATGATCATCGTTAAGTGTGTTGTACTAGGTGTTAATTCAATCCGAAGGGACATTAACATTGATGCATAAGATGTGGCTAAATGATAGATTTGGAGAATGTATAAAGAAGACACTCTAAATGGGGGAGGATTGTTGATAATTTAGAGTGTCGGAGGAGCGCTCGCGCTTCTGAAACGCGCTCGCGCTAGTTAGGCGCGACCCGCGACAAATCCGCGCATAAACCGCGATGAGTTTCTGGAAATTCTGGAAAAGTTTGGAAGCGCGCCCGCGCCTCCGGTTGGCGCGCCCGCGCCATGGCATGGCGCGACCCGCGCCTAAACCGCGCTAAAGTCGCGCTAACTTTCTGGAAATTCGAAGATTTTAGGCAAAGAAGGTGGCGCGCCCGCGCGGGCAGGTGGCGCGCCCGCGCGGGCAGGTGGCGCGCCCGCGCAGGCAGGTGGCACGCCCGCGCACCATGGTGGCGCGCTCGCGCTGCTGTGGTGGTGCGCACGCGCCTCTTCGCTCGCGCCCGCGCTTCTTGCCGTTTTGCGGTTTTATACGACGGTTGATTCTATTTTTATAGAAGAGGTCGAAAGAAATAGACACATAACTTTTCTCTGTTATTCTCCCTAAGTAATTCTCCATTTTTCTCTCAAAAAACTTGCAATCTTTTGTGAGAAATCTTCTTGATTTTAATCTTTCTTGTGAATTATTTATCATCAATTTGTTTCTTAGTGCAAAGAACAATTGGGCTGACTTTTGTATCTCAAAGAGTATTTCCGGATCAAACCCAAGCACCATTGTGGGGGAAATTAAACTCTTTAGGAATGTATTCATACGCCTAAGTCAGTGTGTCAAGGATTGAGACTCAAGTGGTCACCGGTTTTCTCATGTTCATGTTGGATGTAATAGCTTGGAGTAGAGGCAAGTAAAATATCTTTCACAACTAGTGTTTTCTTTGTGTTTTTTTTTTTTTTTTGTATTACTTTGATAAATTGGTGTTTGGTTGTAATACATTGAATTGTATTTGGATTTTTGTATAATTCATTATCAATTATACATAGTTAGGTTTTGTTCCCACAATTGTTAAAGTAGTTCTTGTTTTTAGAATTACTTGAAAACCTAACAGGAACTAGTAGATTTACATGTTGACGCCGGATTACTTAACGGAAAAGTGCGTGTTAATGCCACTGTCGTAGTTTCGAGTCTGCCACAACAACCAAGCCCATCTAGTCCGCCACATACAGCAAGCTCTCCTAATTATGATGACCCTATTGTTGGAGGAGGGGCAAATTATGATTATGATGGATATAATTAATAATTTAATAGGTTGTCATTTAACGTATAATATAGTAATTCGTATATATATAACAAATTAAACTAATGGTTTGTAAAAAGATTGGAAAATTTTATTCACGATTCTGATTTGATTGTTTGTTGATTATTTTTGTTCGGATTAGTTCTTGATTTATTGCATTTTAATATTGTATATTTGTATGTGTTTGTGTATGATATATGGTTGACAGGGTATATATAACCATCAAACATAAGCTTTACATTAGTTTTCCTGGTGCAAGATAAGGCCTACGCTAAGGGGTATATGCACCCGAGTCTAAGGTGCACCCTATGATATTTTATGCTCATTTAATATTTTTTGCTCATTTTAAAATCCTCAAATGAGCAAAAAAAACCACATTGAATGCACGCACCTTTATATACATTTGGGTGTACATAAAAGTTTTTGTCAACCCTGCCAAGTTTATAGTGATGTAGAAACCACCGCACTAGACTAAGGGCATGGGCGCTTTCCTCATCTTCCCTTTGGAAGAGTTGAAGCAGTAATCTGGCTATTCATCCCAACAAGTTAACAACTATACATATACCAAGTATATGATCTTTACTCGAATCGTTTCTCGAGCTAGGAGACTTATTATTTAACATATACAAAGTACATACCATGTGCACGATTTGCTTCATATAAGTCCTTTGCGGCATTATCACTACTGCCCTGCTTAACATGCCTGTATAATTACAACTCGAAGTATAATTTATATCAACTTGTATAAAATCATAGAAAACTATCAACTTGGAAAATAATAATCCCAAGTCCTATTATAAAGTGATATATACTTAAGTTGATTTAAGTTTTCCCTTCTTCGTTGGAGATTGAATTAATTCTATAAATGGACTTATGTATTAGCACTTGATCGATCACAAGCTATATAATCATGTCCGCCTTCATAAATTCCCTCGTATTATGCCTCTCTCTTTGCATCCTCATTTCACCGTCGATTTGTGATCAAGTTTTCTCAGATTATTCCCCATCTATGGCTCCTATCTTTTCTAGATCTTTCCCACCTTCACTATTTCTCTATGTCAATCTCGGTGACCATGATGATTACTCGGCTGAATACGATTCCTACTACCGGGTTGTAGGAATCTCTAGCTCACGTTACTCATTATGCTTTTATACACTCCCCGATAATTCTGTTTATACCCTTAGTATAGGCAGTGGCTTCCCATCTAAATGGATTTGGGCTGCAAACCCGAATGATCCGGTTAGCAATGGAGCGGCTGTTTACCTAGGGGAAGACGGAAATCTTGTACTAGTTGATGTTGATGACCGCGTTGTTTGGCAAACCAACACGGCCAACAAGGGTGTGGTTGGATTGAAGATGCTTGAGGACGGCAACATGGTGTTATACGATGTCAATGACAAATTTATATGGCAAAGTTTTGATTACCCCTCGGATACACTATTACCAGGCCAGTCTCTTAAGGCCGGGGTAACTACTAAGCTTGTAAGTCGTGCATCAAATACAAGTCATTTGGAAGGGAACTACACCCTAGAGATGAGTCCCAAAAATGTGTCCTTGTACTACAAAAGTCCAAATAGCCCAACACCACTTCCTTACTATCAAATTGATCAAAATTTTGCACCGACACCTTCCAAAGAATTTAGATATGTTGTATCAATGAAAGATTATAATAATCCTATCACTTCCCAAACCATTCAATACACTACCACAGATTCGCTATCTAGTTCAAATCAAGAACTTGTCCAAACATCGTACGATAGCAGACTTTCCTTCCTTCGACTAGACTACGATGGTAAACTACGTGTCAATACTTATCCTAATCTTGATGGAAATTGGTACGAAGTGTTCACTCTCTTCAAGGGAGAACCATTGCCGCGTAATCAATTAGGAGCAACTGAATGTCAAATGCCTGAAAAATGCGGTAAATTTGGAGTTTGCTACAAAGGCGAGTGTGTGGCTTGTCCTTCCCCTAGAGGGCTCATGAGTTGGAGCGAAGATTGCGCGCCACCAACCGTGGGAGGATGTAGTCGTGATGAGACAGATGCTAAGTACTACAAGATTCGAGGGGTTCGACATTTCAGTTGTATGTACACCGAAGGTGAAGGTCCTATGAAACCAAGAAAATGCAAGGCTAAGTGTAGCAAAGATAGAAAGTGTTTGGGATTTTTCTATGATGTGGAGAAGTTAAGATGTTGGATTGTTTATGATCTCATGACTTTGACAAAAACTGATAACCCTAAGCATTTAGGTTACATCAAAATGTCTAACTAATAATTTAGTCAGGCTAATAAGATTACTAATGGTTCATCAAGAACCTATTATAATAATGTCAAAAATCATCATATCCTATAGTGTGGAACATGAAATAATAATCTATGACTAACCTTGGTTATGGATAAGTAAATGATTACATATTAATCACTTTATTGTTCGTCATATCATGTAACATTTTGTTAAATTTGGCTTGAATATATTTACAAAATAACAATCCTTTAGAATTTTTACTCATATCTTATTGAATATATTCGTGCAGTGGTAAAAGATAGACATTGGAGACCTTGATATACAAAACATAAAGAACAAAAATGAACGGAGGATTACGAACTTTGATAATGAGGGGGTGCATTACTTTTCCCAATTCGAACTTGACTTGAAGTGTCTACCATGATTTAATCTGACTTGATATGACTCGTTCCAAACTTCATCCAAAAATTCGACCGACCCGAATTTGACTTAAAGTCTCAACTCAAAACCTGACTTGACTCGAAACCCAAATTGACCTGACATTACATGAACCCGTCCCGAAGGCATAGTGGACCCAAAATGAATCGACTTGAAATGACCCTATATCTAATTATCCATCCATACCCAACCAAAACGGCCCGCAATAACTGACCCAATTCAGTCACACTCAATTATCCATGGCTTCGAGGCGTCATGTATCTCTCCGGTTTATCGTTGGATCATTGCACTTAGAGTTTGCTTTCTTAGCTCGAGTTCCATGACTACTCTTATAAAAAATTATTTACAGTAATCTTTTGAAAAATGACTACCAAAATATTAGATATGGTGCGTTGTGATTGGATATATTTCCACGTATGCATTTCTTTCAACTTTATTTTTTAATGTAAGTCTTTTTTCTTATTTTTTAAATTCTATTTGCAAAAATTTACAGTTCAAAGCCAATTCCATGTATTGTACAAAAGCACAATGATGGTATCATCTTCTTCGTTCAATCCTCTCCATCATCTCGAGACACCTTATTGGAGTGTTCCTCTTTAAACAACACTTTTACAGCGCGATGCCAAGAGTATTATTGTCCGAACATTCAACATTATTCCTCGAAAACATATAGGGTGTAAATGTAGTCTGCTTTTAATTAGCTCGTTTAATTTCTCAACAAGCTATGCAACTTAACATGAATATACAGCGTGCTTCAAGTAAGTCCTTTGCGGAATTAGCACTGCATCTCTTAATATGGCTATTTTGAGATCTAGTCATCTAAATAAACTCGAGCTCATTGTATCTTAAGAGGGAAAAAAATGTCGGTTAGTCTACTAAAACTAACATTAATAATCAAACATCAACTAGCTTTAATTTAATTAGCATTGAATCCTTTAGTTTTTTAAGTTTGTTATGAGTATAACTGAGGATATATACATTGGCTCTGACTTTTACATGTAATTACAACTAAATTTATTTCAAAATGGAATCATAGAAAATTATCAACTTGAAAATTAATAATCCAAAGTCTTATACTATGAAGTGATACTTAAGTTGATTCAAGCTTGACTTTAATCTATAAATGGACGTATGTATTAGCACTTGATCGATCACAAGCACGTACACACATGCTTATAATAAACATGTCTTCCTTCATTTATTCCCTCCCTTTAATCCTATCTCTTTGCATCCTCATTTCACCGTCGATTTGTCAAGAATTCTCATCTCCATCCCCATCTCCGGCTCCTTACCCTATTAGATCTTTCCCGCCTTCACTATTCCTCTATGTCAATCAAGGTGACCTTGAGGAATACTCGGGTGAATTGGACTCTTACTTTCGAAGAGTAGGAATTGATAGTCCACATTTCTCGTTATGCTTTTATACCAACACCGATAATTCATATACCCTTGGTATAGGCATGAGCTACCCATATAAGTGGGTTTGGGCAGCTAACCGGAATGATCCGGTTGGTGAAGGGGCCGCTATTTTCCTAAAGGAAGACGGCAATCTTGTACTAGTCGATGTTGATGACCGCATTGTTTGGCAAACCAACACGGCCAACAAGGGTGTGGTGGGGTTAAAGATGCTTGATAACGGTAACATGGTATTATATAATGCTAAAAATAAATTTATATGGCAAAGTTTTGATTACCCCTCCGACACACTATTAGCAGGCCAGGCTCTTAAGGTTGGGCTAACTACTAAGCTCGTAAGTCGTGCATCGACTACGAGCGATTTGGAGGGGAACTACACCCTAGAGATGAGGCCTAACAATGTGTCACTATACTACAAGAGTCCGAAAAATCCAACACCACTTCCTTACTATAGAATTGATCAAATTTATGGATCAACACCTTCCAAAGAATTCTCATATTATGTAGGAATTACAAACTTCGCTTCAAATTTTAAATTTCAAGCCCTACAATACATAACCACAGATTGGCTATCTAGTTCAAATCAACAGCTAGTTGAAACGTGGTACGATAGCACGTATTCGTTCCTTCGACTAGACTATGATGGTAAACTACGTGCCTATAGTTATGATCCTTTGAATAGGGTAGGAAGCATATGGAACGTGGAGTTCACTCTTTTCGAGGGTGAGCCATTGCCGGGTGATCAATTAGGAGCAACTGAATGTCAAATGCCTGAAAAATGCGGCGATTTTGGAGTTTGTTACAAAAACCAATGTGTTGCTTGCCCTTCCCCTAGAGGACTCTTGGGTTGGAGCGAAAAATGCGTGCAACCGAAGTTGGTATGCAGTGGTGAGGAGATCAATGCCAAGTACTACAAGGTTGTGGGTGTTGTGCATTTTAGTAGCATGTATACCGAAGGCGAGGGGCCTATGAAGCCAAGGGCATGTAAGGCTAAGTGTAGCAAAGATTGCAAGTGTGCGGGGTTTTTCTATGATGAGGAGAAGTTAAGGTGTTTGATTGTTTATGATCTCAAAACTTTGACAGAAACTGGTAACCTTAAGCAATTTGGTTACATCAAAGTGTCTAACTAATAAAATAATTTATTAGGCTAAGAAGTTTGCTTTAGGGTATGAAATGCACTAAAAAGCTCATCAATTACTACTTATCCAATCTTGCATTATTATACTGTACTAACTCATAGTGTGGAATAAGACCTGAATACATATTTCCTTCTCGAAAACAAAAAAAAAAAAATGATATATGGAAATATGACGGATTAGACAATTGTAATGTTTCCATTTTGTATAATTCTTAGCTTCCTCCGTTCCCTCTCTTTTACTTGCAACAGTTTGACATTTGCATTGTACTATTTAAATCTTCACAATTCCATTCGACTTTCTTTTAATCAAATTATGTCAATTTTCATGTGCACCCAAAAGAAAGGGAAAAAAAAAAATAATTATGTCAATTTTCATTTCTAAATCTGCTGTTTTTAAGTCTATCTTGCTCTTGTAATTTCTCGAAATTAACTGTTTCCTACTTCGATTTTTTTATTTATTATTTACCAGTAAGAAGTAAACTAACTATATTAGCTATTGAAAACAAAATCAATTAATTCACTGCCAATATTTTAGGACTTTTAGCAGCATTTTACGATCATAAATAAGTTCATTATCGAAAACACGAATTACTGCAGCAAGAATCAGTTCTTTGCTCATGTTACTATGTTAGGACTAATTTAAGTTCCTGAAGTGCAGTGATGAGTATAAATTGACTCTACCTGCCAATTCAGCTGCAGCATTTATTTCATTCAAAATTCTAAGAAACTTGTTAAACAGTGATGACTGCAGCAGCCCAGAAGCCGAGTATAAGTCTCAACATTCAGCATTTCCTAAAATCATGAATGATGCAGTCTAGTCTCAGTAAGCTCATTAATGTTGCGGTAGGCTAGACGACTAAACACGAAAATACACCATCGTCACCATGTGCTTCAATTAAGTCATTGACGGCTTTTGCACTACAGCTCTAACTTGTGTATTTGGAATCTAGTCATTTAGATAAACTCAATGCATGCAGTTGAGTATAACTGGGGATGTTGGACTATTGGACGTATACAACTTTGACTTTTCATACTCAAATTACAACTATAACTTATTAACTTGTTTCAATCTCAAGTATCATCATATAAAATTATCAACTTGGAAAAAAAATAATCCTAAGTCTTATTATGAAGTGATATGTAAGTTGATTGAAATCTACCCTTTGTTGGAGAATTAAGCCTATAAAATGGGATATATCATGTATGTACACACATGCTTATGAACATGTCTGCCTTTGTTTATTTCCTCTCCTTAATCCTATCTCTCTGCCTTCTCATTTCGCCGTCGATTTGTCAAGAATCCTCATCTCCTTCCCCTGCTCCAGCTCCTTTCCCTTCTAGATCTTTCCCGCCTTCAATATTCCTCTATGTCAATCAAGGTGACTTTGAAGATATCACTGGTGAATTCGACACCTCTTTCCGACGTGTAACTATAGACAGTCCAAGGTTCTCATTATACTTTCACACTAATGACCAGAAATCTTTTACCCTTGGTATAGGCATGGGGTTCTCACCTAAATGGGTTTGGGCCGCAAACCGGAATGCTCCGGTTGGCGAAGGGGCTGCTCTTTACCTTGGAAAAGATGGCAATCTTGTACTAGTCGATTTTGATGACCGCGTTATTTGGCAAACCAACACGGCCAACAAGGGTGTGGTAGGATTGAAGATGCTTGAAAACGGCAACATGGTATTATACGATGCTAAAAACAACTTTATCTGGCAAAGTTTTGATTACCCCTCGGATACACTATTAACCGGCCAGTCTCTTAAGGTTGGGCTAACTACTAAGCTTGTAAGTCGTGCATCGCCTACGAGTGATCTTGAAGGGAACTACACCCTAGAGATGAGACCCAACAATGTGTCCTTGTACTATAAGAGTCCAAAAACTCCAGCACCATTTCCTTACTATAGAATTGATCAAATTTTTGGGACAACACCTTCTAAAGAATTCAGTTATATTGTAGGGGTTATAAACTTTGCTTCACATTTTACATTCCAAGCCCTACAATACATAACCACAGATTGGCTATCTAGTTCAAATCAGCTGTTAGCCGAAACGTGGTACAATAGCACATACTCCTTCCTTCGACTAGACATCGATGGTAAACTACGTACCTATAGTTTTGATCCTCTGAATAGGGATATATGGACAGTGGAGTTCACTCTTTTCGAGGGTGAACCATTGCCGGGTGATCAATTAGGAGCAACTGAATGTCAGGTGCCTGAAAAATGTGGCGATTTTGGTGTTTGTTACAAAAACCAGTGTGTGGCTTGCCCTTCCCCTAGAGGACTCTTGGGTTGGAACGAAAAGTGTGCACAACCAAAGTTGGAATGCAATGGTGGGGAGATCAATGCCAAGTACTACAAGGTTGTAGGCGTTCGACATTTCAGTAGCCTGTACACAGAAGGTGAGGGGATAACGCAAAGGAAATGTAAGTCTAAGTGTAGCGAAGACTGCAAGTGTGCGGGCTTTTTCTACGATGAGGAGAAGTTAAAGTGCTGGATTGTTAATGATCTCAAGACTTTGACACAGTCTGATAATCCTAAGCAGTTTGGTTACATCAAAGTGTCTAACTACTGATAAAATTAGGCTAATAAGATTTGAAACAGGATATGAAATACTACCTCCGTTTTTTATTATGTGCAACTTTGGAATATTTTATGTCTCACAAATATTCCTCAAAGTTGCACATAAAAAAAAACGGAGGTAGTATACTAATGGCTCGAGTACACATCCTATTGTATGAAATAAGACAAATACTTACTTTTTAAGAAACTTCTCATTGGGTTTTTTCCCTGTATTTTTAAATAAATATGATATGAAAAAACATGATGTAACTGCACTTGCAGTCTTGCACATTTAGTTTACCAAACGGGCCTATCTTTCCATTAACACGGATTTGCAGATAAAACTCGTTAAATTCGAGTAGTACAGCATAAAGGATCGAGATCTGAACAAAAATATGTAACCTTGGGCTGTTTGGGCATGGCATATAATTAAACCACTAGCTCTGATCATCAAAACCTATAATACACTGCCACAGATTGTTAACAGTTCAGAATTAGGTAATGTTCTGATTGCAAAAACATGCACATATATCAGTACAAAAACTCCCATTATTGCAGCTAAAATCTGTCAGAAAGTACAGCAGTTTAAAATTAGCAATTTTACTTCCGGAACGTTCAATCAGACTCTTCCTCACCTGAGGTACGCCAAAATCGCTGTTCAATGCCCATAAGTCCTCCAGGGTAAGCAGGTTCAACTGAAAGAGCAGGAAAATTATTACAAAGTATATATTTATAAGAGTGTGTAAGTTGAAATAAGTGAACAATCAAAAGATTGAAAACATGCATAACTCAAGTCAGTTTGAAACTCCTATCAAAAGATCAATTTGATGAAAAAATCATCTTACCTGGGTATCCGTATAACCAGTTTCGAGTAGCTATCAGCGCTTCTGTACACTTGGAATACCAGTCACCTTTCAATCTGTCTTTAACTCTGTAGCCCATGCCAAAAACTGAATCCTTAGGAAACGAGGTAATAGGGATGCTTAATATATCCCTTGCCATAAGGGTTAGTTCTTGTCCAAAACGCGGTTCATTTTCCTTCCACCAAGAGGGAACATCCATCTGTTTCTGGCAGCGGACACTCGGTTCATTCAAGTACAAATTCAGACTTGAGCTAACTGAGTTGTTTTCCTTCGTTCTGCAATATATGTCAAACCCCTGCTTTGAAACAAATATGTCATAAAACAGGACAAATATACAACATTACAACATGTAGGACTAGTATATATATACAATTTACATACCTTGATAATATCATCTTTCATTTCATTTGAGTGTGATTCAAACAGTTGATCATTGTAACTTTTGAAGAGCCTATCAAGCCGTTTACGGGTGCACTCATACCTGTTCTCTGCACTTGCCTTGTCTAACAAAACTTGACAAAGCTGAGTTTGTAGCGAGGATCAAATACTATAGCCAACGCAAGAACTTCATGACAAGCATCCCAGTACACATCAAATTCACCCTTCAACCTTCGTGCCAAGTTACTTATCTCAAGGTATTTATCCTCCAATGCATCCACAAGGAGCAAACCAATCTTCAGAACATTTATAAAGTATAAATTGGCTGTTGGGTGTTCAGTGCCTAAAAAACAGATTTGCTGTGTCATAAAGAGGCTTCAGAAGCTTACACATCTTTTCAACCCTAGACCACTCTTCTACTGTCAAATGCCAATCAGTATACTCGTCATCAATCATCACATGTTCAAAGGCATACCGATACTTAACTGCCCTCTCGAGCAACAAATAAGTGGAATTCCATCTTAAGTAGCTATCTGACCACAAAGGCTCAAATTCACCTTGGAATATGAGTAATGCAGCTTCTTCAAACTTGAGTCTGTTCTTCTCATGACCCATTATGTAATGCACACCCTCTCTGATCTTACTTATAGGGCTATCAATCAGCTTGAAACACTCTTCGCCCATATGATCCATGAAGCAAGCCCCACAACAAACATGAAGATAGTCACCATTGCAAAGTAAAGCTCCATCTTTCCCATTAAGACACTCCCTTAACAGGTCTTGTACAGTCTCATCACACCTTCCACTATCGAAAGTGATAGAAAATACTTTCTTCTCGATTCCCCACTTGCACAATACATCGTAAACTGCTGATCGCAGGCTAGATGCACCCCACGGAAAAGACAAGCGAAAAAGATTTAAAAACTTGCTTTGCAATTTCCAATTAGAATCCACATAATTCGCGGTCAAGCAAAGGTAGTCATTAGTACAAGGATCCACCCAAATATCGATTGTCAAACATAATCTACCCGAAATACTCCCCAAATCATGTTTAAACTTGGCTCTCTCCCTTTCATACGCTTCCATACACTTTCCCTTGGCCGCATCTGTACTAATGTGTTTAACATTCGGCTTTAGATTGGCCAAGACGTCTCTAGTGCCACTATGCTCAAACAATGTCAATGGAAGACCGTGTTCTATGATAGCGGACATCATCATCTCCATGAAAACAGAATCCTCAAATTTTCCTCCACCTTAAACAAAGCAAGGATAAACATAAGTAAAACACCATACTCGTCACTTACACAAGTTTAGTTACTTGTTTTTTAGTCGACACAGTTTTGACTTTTGACACTATTTCAAATACTTTACTTTCAATTCTCTATTGTGCTTAGGAAAATTCAAGTTTATCATCACGATTAAAAAAAAAAAAAAAAAGGTTTTATGTGGTGGCATTTTCACGAATAAAATAATATTTTTTTTGGCAAAATTAACCGCAATAAGCTGAAGTATGGCTTAGGTATACTGAGCACCCTAAACTATGCGCGTAGTAGCCAAAACACCACCAACTATGGTGTTAGGTGCGACGCATGACTTTAATGAAAATTTTCGACCACTTATTTCATCGGAGGAGGAAAATCCATGCGTGCTAAGTGGATGGAAGACTATATAATTGTTGTATAGAGTGAAGATTCACCTCTTCACGGTGAAATAAGTTGCCGGAAATTTTCATTTATGGCACGCGTTGCACCTAACACCATAGTTGGTGGTGTTTTGGCTACTACGCAAAGTTTAGAGTGATCAATGCACCTAAATCGTACTTTAGAGTGTTGCGGCCAATTTTGCCTATTTTTTTTTATTAAATGTGGACCCTTAAATGTTTATTTATTTACAAAAACTAGATTAGACTCATTACGTGGCACGATTTAAAAAAAATTATTATTATACATATTGGTTAGTTTTTCTGTTTGAAAAATATAGTGTAGATTTTTAGAAAAAAAATTGATGACATCACACTTAGTAATGGAGGGAAAATTTTTAATGCGAGAATGACACGTAGGATAATTTAAAAGTTGATGATGTCAGAAAATGTTTTGTTTTAGTAATAGTTAATAGATATATTAGACTTTAATTGATTTATTTACCACTAAATAAACGATCACGAATTTTGTCTATATGATAAAATGGGGCTTCTCCATAGTCTAATATTAAAACAAATATATATGATCAATTTACAATCAAACATCATCTTTTCCTAATTTTTAACCATTGATAATTAAAGATAGATACTGGCAGTTCAACTTTAATGGATTGGCAAATATAATACTTGGTAAAAGAAACGTGTCAACTAAAAAAGAACGGATATAACAAAACTTGCCTGAGGTATTGCCACGAACTTGTTTCGATATAGTACTCCGACGGCGCTTTCTATTGGAAATTGGAGTGCCGGACATAGGTAAATATAAGGATTACGGAGTATCGTCTAGCACCAAAATACAATTACACAATAACATGAGCAAAGATTACGAACACAATACATCCAATTTAAAAATTAATCAATAGTTTAATTATGTTAAGATTCATGAACTTAACCCAGATGATTGTAGTAACAAAAATAATGCATATGAATGAAATTAAATTAGAAAAATACGAACATAATATGAAAGAAAATAACCTGAATTACAAAGAGAGGAAAGCAATTAATTCACTAATTACGATTTGCGAAGCAGGGGATGAAGAAAGCGAAGGGTTAAGTATATAATGGCAGTCAAAGAAAGCGGGAAGATTGCGCGCGCTTTTAGTTGGGCTTTTGGGTAGGGTTTTGGACAGTGTACTTAGTAATGAGTAACTGAATGTTATGTTTAATTTGACCTTTGTCTTAGGTAAAGTTTGCATTTTTCACGGGTGAAAATAGTATAGTGTACCCGCAAAGAACATTAGGCATATTTTAAAGAACATGAACGAAAAAAAGAACATACTAGCATTTGAAAAAAAAACATACTAGTATTTGAAAAAAAATTGGTAAAAATAATCTCAACTTTCACGTATTCGCTTTTAATAATCCCAACTTTGGATTATTATTAAATAATCCCAACTTTAGGGTGTATTCTCTCAAATTAGTCCCAAGCGACCAGTAACCTGTTAAAGAGGTAATTTTTTTTTTTAAGTTTATGTGACACGTGTCACCACGTGATTGATTGAAATGTGAAAAAAAAAAAAAAAACAGTCAAAATTCGAACGGCAACATCACCACCATCATCTTTAACCACCTACGCTCCAACCATCACCTGTGCAGCAACCCCTGTAACCACCATCACCTACGCAGCAACTTGCGCTTACCGCACCACCTGTCGGCATCCCGAAAACACCAACAACCACGCATCTCCACACCCAGAACTCTCTTGCTCCTCACCACTCACACCCACCGAACCAAACTCCCCTGCCATCACCGCCCAACCGCATACACCAACAACCACAACCTCTGCCACCCACCCAATCGCCCCCAACACTGTTGCCCACACCCCCAATGCAACAAGTAACAGCCACCATCGAACCACGGCAAGCAACCTAAAAAACCGAACCAACGGCAACATCAGCCGCTCCTAATCGTCGCGCCCAGACCCCCTCTCCCCCGCGACGGTGCTGACTCCGAAGCTGCCCCCTCCTCCGTACCCCTAAACCACCAAAACCCCCATAACCTCCATTGCAAAAATTAACCTCCTTTGATATTTGCAATTAACCCTAATAATTTTCCCTAGATTTTGCAGCAATTTCTAGATTAATCTTTGTAGAATCATCAATAGAAGCTTTAACAGAGCTTTGCGACTTGATTGCGAAAAATCCAGATCAATTTAAGGAGAAACTTGGTTGGATTGTGGTCATTTTTTGCGGGGCTGCCACAAGGTGGTTTCGTGGTGGTTGTGATTGATGTGTGTTTGTGGATGGGCTGGTGCTTGTCGCGGCGGAGCTTGCTGTGTACTGGCGGGATTGGGCGTCTTGGTGCCGGCGGAAATGGGGGTTCCGGGAGTGGGCGGAGGTTGGTGGTGGAGATGGTGGTAGTGGGGGGCTGGGTTTGTTTTTTTAACTTTTCTCTTTTTATTAAGCTTTTTTTTTTTTTTTAGTTTCCTTTCCAAAAAAAAAAAAAGTTTTTTAGTTTTTTCTTAAAATCAATTATGTGATGTCACGTGTCCCAAAAACCTGTTATAACATGTTAGTAACCGGTTAGGGACCAAAGAAAGCAAATACACCCCAAATTTGGAATTATTTAATAATAATACAAAGTTGGGATTATTAAAAGCAAATACGTGAAAGTTGGGATTATTTTTACCAATTTAAAAAAAAACATACCCGTGTTTGAATTGACAAAAGAACATGTTTGTGTGTTGACAAAGAACATGGCATTACAAAGAACATAAGTCTTTACAAAAAGAACGTGTTCTTTTCATGGTTACTCAGGTGATTAAATGTGTTTGAAAAAGAACCCTATATTTGACAAAAGAACATGGCATTACAAAGAACATTAACTCTTAGAGGTGATCATTGGGCGGGCCGAGAGCAAAAAAATAGCCCACTTTTCGGGTCAGGCCAAGATTCGAGCTAGAATTTTTGTGCCTAAACCCACCTAGATGGCGAGGTCGTGCGGGCTTTTTGGGCCGGGCCAAAAAAAACAACTAAAAATGCATAAAAACACATTCTCAAACCCGTCCAAAAAAAATAAAATTTCGGGCTGGGCTAAGTATGATTAGGTCCATAAAGTCCTTACAAAAAGAATATGATAATACATTAAAGAACATGATCTTTTTCTTAGTTACTCAGGTGGTTGAATTTAACATTTTTGTACGTACATACATTAAAGAACATATTGTATAATGTAAAGAACATATATTTCAAACTCAAAAAACATAATAATCAAACTCAAAGAACATATTATGCTCGCGTTCTTTATAAATGTCTATAATGTTCTTTTTTCACTCATGTTCTTTTAAATATACCTAATGTTCTTTCTGGGTGTACCATGCACATGAGGCACCCGGGTGCACCAACCACGCATTATTTCAGAGGTTGTGAAATCAAACTTCACTAGAGCCACTTTAGGCTTTTAGGGTAAGGATTTCCTTATCCTTTCCCCCACTTTCAAAGCTCCTAGCCCACTAATTCGGGTTAGGAGAACCTGTGAGAGATTCCGCCCTGATATGACTCTTTTCCTACCAACCCAAAAAAAAATGACCTTTTTAGGGGAAGAAAATAGGTTAACATAGTCTAAAACAAGGGTTTGTTTCCAAAAAAAAAAAAAACAAGGGTTGTCCGATTTCTAATTGTGATAATTTTATAAACTTATTAAGGGGTAAGTTTGTAAATACACACTATATTCACTCTAGTTTGGTACCAAGTAAGCTGAAGTTTAATACTCCTACACAACTTTGTTAGTACCAATAGAATTTTATGAATTTTATATGTTTTTTTTTATTATTATTTTTTTTATTTTTTATCACTCCTTACTCCGTCACATATTCACATGTGATCCACATAAAAACTATATAGTAATAGAAAAAAAAAAGAACACTATTATGCTATATTGTTATGAATCTTTAATCAATATCTTTAATTATCGAATAAAAAAATTATAATAATTAAATATTAATAATTTATCACTCGTAGTTGAGATAATTTCAATAAATATCCACAAAACTATGTTTTTTTAGGTATAAAGCACGTTAGTTAAGGTTGAGCAATGGAAAAACTCAAAACGTTTCATTTAAAAAATGAGGGAGTAGTAATATGGTTTTCTCACTCTAATTAGACAATACACTGGTAATTTACAAAAATACCCTCACAACTAGACATTCTCACATGGGCATTTTGGTCATTTTTGTTTCCTACTATTCCTCACTTAACCCAAACCAAAAAGGTCAAAAGACTCAAAACCATAGAAAAACAAGAAGAGAGAGAAAGAAAGAAAAACGAAAACAAACGGCACCGCCGCCGGGAACTCGGATAACAACTACTCACTTCACCACCTTCTTCTTCCTCCTCCTTCTTCCTCACCCACGTGTCCTTTCTTTCTCCCATTTCCCAATACTCTTTTTTCTCTCTCCTCATTTTTTATTCATTATTTTTTTTGGTTTTTTCCAGATAAAACTTCCATCTTTCACAAAAAAAATCAATTTTTTCTCTGTTTTCAAGCTTAACAGCAATGGCGGAAGTGGACCCATCTGAACAACCCCACCATAGCCAACGCCGGCGAGTTCAATCCTTCACTTCTCTCTCTTCTATGTTCTTTGCTGGGTTTGAAAGCCCAACTAATCCTTCGCTTCCTTCTCTCTCGGATTCTGAGCCCGATTCTTGCGATTTGGGCCCGAACTCGAACCCGATTTTTGAGCCTGATGAAGAAGATGTTCGAAATCATCATCGTCGGTATGATCAGGTGAGCT